TTTCTATTCATTGTTTTTATTTCTTCATCTCTCTTTTACTACACTGCCAGAATAATTAGCTGGGTTGAGGGTATCCCAGTGAAATTGGGATGTACTCAACCAATTAAAACTTCTTTGCCTCTCAACTAATGAAATATAGATCCGAGGTACCACCTTCAATTTGTATTTCATTGGTTGGAACCCAACCAAGTTTAAATTGTTTGAGTGTATACCAGTTAAACTAGGATACCCACATCCCAGCCAATAATTCTGGCAGTGGCACAACTCAACATGATTGTGACAATATTTCTTTTGTTTTTCTGAGTCCATTTTTTTAAGATAAACTGATATAATTGTTACAATGATTAACTCTAGGGATCATAGGTGGCTGCACTGCCCTGTTGATATTTTGCCTTAGGCATTCCCATATTAGGTAGATCTTAAAAAAATACTCATTAAAATGAGATCATACACTTTTTCTGCAAAAACTTTCATCCTTTGCATAGACAGTTTCAATCAGCCTTCACTCAATAGTGCACCAAACATACATGAAATATAGTTTCCCAATGAAACCCTTCAACACAGTTTTGTTGTCTATTTGAACACTTACCTCAAGTCATGCTACATGTTGAAGGCTGCAAGCACATCTCCGCACCCTCACAACGTGATTGCGATGGTAATCAACTACTGGAGATTGAGATGAAGGAAATGACCAAGGCACCTAATAAATTTGGGCCTACCACTACACCACAATTCCAAATGATGTTCAACTCTTTTGCCAGCCAAGGCACCAACTTTTTTTTGGTTGGTGGATCAGCTTTTTGGGCCACATTGAAAACTCACGTGCAAACAGCACCATTGAAATTTAGCCCTGGATTGCACACCTCAGACCATTCCCTCCATATGATTGGAAAATATTCCAAGTGATTGGTCTGATGATCATGTAATGCACAGTGCCATCTTCTCTGGCCACTCCATGTACAGTCTCCTCCCAGATGTTTATAGCCATCTGCTTTGAGCCTCACAGCGGGAACCCAAAGACTACAAGTCAAAAGAGTTTGTGGAATGGTGGAAAATGTGTTTAAAAGAATGAATATGAAATAATAATAATAATAAACAAGATTTTAAAATTTGTGAAAAAGATAAAAGAAAATCAACTTTTTTGGAAAACTTTAATTGTTTGTTTGAGTGAAAAGTGAACACACAGAGGGCAAGTTTGGAACATGCAAAGAATGATTATAAATGAAAAAATATTGATCCAATAAAAGTTTGAGCCTGGTGGGTGGACACCCTGCAGTCAAAATCAGTAGATTGCAGTACCAGAATGCCACATTTCTTGATGAATGACCCCTTAGGCAACCTTTTTAAACCAGCAAGTAGTCATTTTTTTCAAATTTCACTTCTTATCATCCACTCCAGATCTCATACTATCAATTTGGAGATTTCATCTTTTCCTGAAAGAAATATTAGAGCTTCCAGTTTTTGTGATTTTCTCCTTTTTACTTTTTACCAATTGTATAATCTTGTTTATCATTATTATTTTTTCATATTCATTCTTTGAGACTCATTTTCCATCATTCCACCAACTCTTGTGACTTGAAATCTTTGGGTTCCTGGTGTTGAGCTCAAAACAGATGGCTATAAACATCTGGGAGGAGACTGTACATCAAAGTGTCCAATTTAAAAAATCAGGTAATGGTTCACATTTTCAATATCATGAAATGGAAAGATGCTGGCACATTCAATCCAACAGAGTTTGATTGTATCCTGCATGGATAGAGGCCATGGTTTTAATTTTGACAAAGGGATTGAATAAGCTGAGGGATTTGAAATGTTAGAGAAGGTAAGGCATTGGCACATTGTGTTGAATTTATATTGTGGATAAATGAGAAATTTGTCTAGGGTGATGCAAAAAAGATTCAGGGGAAACAGAAAAAGTAAAAACCACAGTCAAGAGGGTAATCAAAAAAGAGTTGACTAGGGTGGGATCATGGTATTAGATCACTAGTGGAAATTGGCTAAGACTGAAATAGGGGGTATCAAATCTAACCAAATACACCATTATTTAATCGAATGGTTTGAAAAAAGCCACCCTTTTTTAAACATGTTGGTTCTTCATTTAACCGCTTTTGGGGCTCATTGATGCAAAAAAAGATTTTGGGAAAATTGGCTGGTTTCCAATTGTGGATTTCCTATATTTGATACCCCATAATATGTGTTAAAGACTGGCAGGTGGTGAGTGCGCCAGAGAAATGATGGGAATGGCATTATGAGAGGTTGTGGTGGGTGGGGGTGGATTGGGGAGATTGGTGATTGAAGACACAAGGCATTTGTTGACATTAGGGGGTATCAAATATAACCAAATCCACCATTATTTAATTGACTGGTTTGAAAAAATCCACCCTTTTTTAAACATGTAGGTTGTTCATTTGACCCCTTTTGGGGCCCATTGATGCAAAAAAAAAGTTTTGGGAAAAGTGACTGGTTTCTAATGGTGGATTTCCTATATTTGATACCCCCTATTGTATGGTGATGTTTCAAAGTGGATGTGACAAATATGGAAAAAGAAACCCTTTAAGGATAGCAATTGGATAGTTTTGTAAAGACAGGGTGAGATATGTTGGGTATGGAAATGTTTGGAGTTGGGGAAAATTATTGAAGGAATGAGCTCTGAAAGGGATCAGGGGTGAACTGTTAATTGTGATAAAGGGAATCTTATGGTTATGAGAAATTTGGAGGAGGAAGTGAATCAACGGCCGGCCAGTTACACTAACCGTAGTGTTAGTGTAGCGGAATTCCGCTAAACTTTAGCGCAGCGTAGCGGAAGTTCACCACATCTTGCACTAACACTAAGTGCATAGGCCCCAAAAAAGGGCCCACTACGCTACGCAAACACTCTGGGTAGCAGTTTTTTGGCCCTGTAGCGCTGTTAGCGGACTGTAGCGCAGCATAGCGTAGCAAAAATCCGCTAAAAATCCGCTAACACTACTTTTTTTGGCGCAAAAAAAGACTACTTTTTTTGGCGCAAAAAAAGCGCCGCTACGCTACGCTTTTTGTGCCAAAAGCGTATTGGCCCACCTCTGTGTGAATGTTCATGGGAAAGTTTAACTTAGTAATTTATGCTATTGGCATTAAGAAAGCAAGACAACAAAAGATAGTTTGTAAGATGGAAAATTTACAATGCAAGCAAATAAAATAATGGATTACATGGGATGGACAGTGTGATTTCCCAGTTAACGTTGACCGGTTTTGCAGCCAATTCCCTTTTTTTTTAACCAGAATAAGGCCCATACTTATTCCCCTTTATTCTATTTCCTTGTACACCATTGTATCACTTCACTGCTTTCCTTATTCTTCTATAGCTTATATATTGGTACTCTTCCCTTTCCTCTTTGTTATCTACCCAGCTTGTAACTGGACGCAATGGTGCCTATAAATAGAGGAATACAACCCTGAGCTCATTCTCAAACCAGTCTCCGTACCATAAAATTCCGTGAAATCACAACAGGTGGAGTATAAGAAAATAATCTGAGTGAAGGAGTTCAAGGCATTGTATGGCTCTTGTTTGGCGGCAGAACTTAGTGCCATACAATCTGGGGGACTGATTTTTTTGTGAAAAAGCTTGGTGGTTTGGTTAATCACAAACTGTTAATTTCTACATGTGTTATTTTCATTCTTCTCATGTTTAAGTTTTAACCTTGAACTGGATGAATTTTCATCACAATCTAGAGCCCTCCCAGAATCTAATTTAGACTGCCTAGATCAAAATTGTTTGGAAAAAATAAATATTGTTTGCCTTGTAGAAGTAAGTCTCATGTGAGATGGTTGATATTACGATTGGGTTGTTACTTGAGGATTTGGGAGGGCCAAAACAGGTGCCCTAAATGGCAACAGGAAGTACTCCACTGTTCTTTTACTCAAGTCTTCAAATTTTCTGTCCTTTCTCCTCAAAATTCTTGACTCTGTCTTTTTTACTTCAATTGCAACACTTGCCATACAAAACACACAAAATCAATTCGTGGTATGTTAGTGGGTTAACAATTATGGAAACAAAACATGAAATTCAATCTGCAGGAAAAAAAAAACAAAGTCACTTCAGAGCTGCAGTGAGAAACCAACTGCTTGGGAAAAAGATTTGTCCAAGCAGTTTTTGGAGAGTTTGTCTCATGAGAACCGCAATTCAGATGCACTGGTCTTATCAGACACATTGTATTTCCCAAAAGCTGCTCATGTACCAGACTGTTTGACTATTCAATATCTGTGCTGTTTAACATGGATTCATTTTGCACACAGTCAGAAATTCAGAATGACCACGGCCCATCACCCACCATCACACGTCTAAGACCTTAAGAATTCTCAGATCATCCACTTTTTTCCACAACTATTCTTCCAACATTTCCATTATTGTCTTGCTGGTATCATATCCCAAGAAACTTTACTCAGCTCAATTAATGGTGTGTCTGACAACCCAACCAAAAAAAAGCACCTGAAAAGAGTCTGAAACCCTTGCAGTGACCAAGTAAGGCACACAAAACCTTGTGCAGTTTAAATTCAAGTGTTCATCAAGCACAGCTATAGTGCAAAGATAGTTTGTTGTTATATTTATTTGGATCAAGTTGCATGAATTAGCTGACAGCTGTAGTGATATTTTGTCAAATTGAGTTTTGATGTAAACTGAAATTCTGGATAGTTTTCTGATTCAATATACTCCAATTGAATCATAACATCTATCACATTATGAGATTGCATTCATGGCTGTACTTCTTTCACCAACCACTTGTATAAGCCTCACATGGGAGCACAATTCTCAAATTTAGTTGGCCTCTTTCAGTCGGGCAGGTAGCAGTGGGAAACATACCAGGACAGTAATTTCTGGGAAGCCTTTTCCAGTCCCCCATCATGTTGACAAGAACTCAGATTTGGTATCACTCTACACAGCTGCATTGGTAGGGCCATAGATGTGTTGCTCACAATGTAATGATGGTGATAGTTCAGGACACAAGTCCTCCGGTCATTCAATCTAGGGACCTGACAATCACCAAACATACTATTTGTATAATGCAAGGCAAGTTTGGAAGTCCATTCACTGAACACTTCAGAATGAATAAACTAGATTCTTCACCGGATTCAAATTGTCAAGTGATTGAGCCAAAGTTCTATCTATTTCCAAGCATGTACAAATCCCATGAGGTATGATTGTGAAAAGCTTAAGGTCTCCTGAGTCCCAAGAAAAAAAGAGAGGGGAAAAAAATACTACAGTAGAGTACAAGATAGAAGAGTCAAACTTTAAACAGGATGCTCAAGCATTCAATTTCGCTCAATCCGTGCGTCCATCGGTCGAGAAACAATTGGCGCTTGCACGATGTATTGAATTGATTGAGACTTAACATGTTCGTCTGATTTCGTTTTTCTCATTGTTCGCAAGCGGAGGAGGAATTGAAATTTGAGAATGAACTTCGGTCTCGGACAAGAGCGCGAGCCGCTGTATTTGGGATGATTGGTCGATGGATGATCGTGTGGGAGGCATTGGGCCATCCAATGAAGTTCTGCAAGTATCAGGGAATTTGAGTGGACCTGAACCCTTTTGGGCTTGATTTTGTCCGTCAGGTGTAGAGAAGGTGACGGCATTTTCGGGTTGGAAAGTGCTGAATGTGAGAGAATGATGAGATTGGATGCAGGTCATCGATTGACCTGAGGGTGAGGCGGTCAAAATCCCATTCGGAAAAGATGGGAATGGTGACTTTTCTGATTTGGCACTGAGTTGATCGGGAGAGAAGGCATCCACTTGGACCGCTTGGAGGGACCTTATGCGTGTATGGTCCACACAGGATGGACGTGTGTGAGCTGGGGAACCAGGTATCTGTTCACTTGAAACTGAAAGGTAATTGGGCGACGAGGTTGAGGAGGCACACTCCTGAGTTTTAATAAAACTTTGGAGAGAGTCGAGTTGTTCAGCGTTGGATTGAACAATGGCTTTGGTCTGGCAAACTTGTTGAGTGAGAATTTCAAAGGATTCTGAGACGTGGTAAATTAGCTTAAACGAAATTGGTTTGCTGAGACCTCACGATGCACGAACAAGCTGCAGGTTCACTTACTAGCAAAAGACATCAGGAAAAGTGCTCTGCGTCGTTGGTCTGACGTCACCTTGTCAATCAAGCCACCTTTCGTGACGGCCTGTTCCAACCCTTCGACCTTTTCAGCTTCTTGCATCATTTGTGCTAACCGAGGAGGGGCCTCTCCAGTTTTTCCATTCATCCAAAATTGTGCATGCTTCAAGAACTCCTCGGCGGTTTCGATCAACTGATCTAGAGTTTGATTGACATCTGTCCCTTCCTGCTCTTCAACCGAGTATTTGAGGGGATGTCCTGCCTCATCAGCGCTAACAAGTTGAGCTGTTGCTTCACGTGTCATTGCTAGCTTTCGGTGTCGGCTCTTGCTGATTGCCCGCTTATACCTCATTTCCCAAGCTTGAGTGAGAACTGAAAAGAGTGTAAGTCTATCAGCCAAAAAAGTTCATGTTTGGACTCGCATCAATTCACATACAATGATTTGTAACCTACCTGCTAACAAGAGGGTCATGTTACCAATCCCGAGAAGCGACCAAGCAATGAAAAATGCACGTCCACCGGAAGATCGAACGGTGAAGTCACCGTAACCTGTGTAACATTTGAAATAAGACTTGACTTTAATCTACTAATACAATTGTGAGAAACTTACCTAAAGTCAAAAACGCCACGTAGCCAAAATAAAGAGCCTGTCCGTACGACCATCCTGGCCAAATTAACAGCATCCAATTGAGTGCTAGTCCAGGTCAATGCAAAAAAAAAAATCAATTTTCTGCTCACCTTCTGTAAATTTAACTGATGACAGAAATAAAAAAATGTCACACGATTAGTTTGGGCGACTCTCAGTACCACAAGGCTCCTTGATCATAAAGCATAATACTAACAGACGGCACCCCCAAGAAGCCAAAAACATGAAAATAGAAATGAAGCAATGAAAAGTCTCATCTGCAGCTCTTTTTTCTCATCTTTTAGTAAGCGGTGCTGAAACTGTTGGAATGAAACTTTGGCATCCGTGCTTTCGGTGCGTGATTGCATGGTATTCAAATGAGCGCCCTGACGATTGGACTTCCAAAAAAATGACCTCCAGGTTGGATGGGGACAGCGGGAAGGGTCACTAGCAGGAGTACTATCTGTTTGAAGTTGATCGTATTCATCGGGAGGCCGATGTTTGGTAGCTGCTTTGTAGAGCCGTTTCCCCTGGTGGGCTATGGCACGGCGTCGGGAGCGCACCAAGGATTCAAACGCCTCGATGATCGTGTCACGAGATGTGGAAACGGTCAAGCCCAAGAGAACGACTCCGACGATGGCGTAAAAGAAGTTGAATACACGAGTGACCGTGCGAGTCGGTGTTATGTCACCAAAGCCCACGGTTGTTCTGTATCAGGAGGAGGAGATGAAGGTAAGAACACTTCAAATTGGCAGCTCGGAAGGGTTTGAGGGACATACACAGTGCACACAGAGAAGTAGAGTGCATCACTGAAAGTTACTTGATGCGACTCGAGCAATGCAAAAACTACTGCTCCAATCCCGATGTAAAGGAGTAGGCTCATGACGACAATGGCCAAGGTTCTTTGCTTCGTAGTCAGCCCGGAACCTGATTATCAAAAGTAGGGGTATTAGGACTACATACACTCTCTCCCGAGAGATGTAAACTCAGATGCCGAGAGACCCACCTTTAGCTCTAAAATTATCCACTCGCACATAATCCAATATCAGTGTCAGGTTACAGAAAACTGAAACTAGGGAGCTGGATGGAGATGAAGATGAACCAAAATTGTCAATCAACCCGTTGTGAATATTTTGCTACGCGTGAAGAGATTTAGCAGAGTGATATGTACCTAGCCACTAGCATCCAAAAAGTGCCAGACGGGCGATGAGAAGACCTTTAGATATTTGGAACATCAAGGGCATCAACGGATGATTTATCGTTGGGCAGAGGAAGTTGAGATGGGAGGAAAGGCTGACCCTGGGCTTTCTGTTGCAACTTTTATTAGGATACCCAAATTCAAACAATCATGAATGGTCAAGCTACCAATTGCAGCTAGTGTACTGATCTGCGGTCGGTATTCAAAATAACGACAAATAAGAGATATATTTGCTATGAATGCCTAGGGGAAGAAATATAACAATCAAATCAGATAAAGCATAACTTGCTGGTTGGGATGACATTTGCCAATCGAATTGGATTAGAACCACTCACCAACACCACTGAAATAATCAATCCCGCGAACAAAAGAGGTGAACTCTGAGAAACGCTAAATTTGATCGAAAATCACGAGATATTGGAAGGTCAGGATGTTAAAAAAACGGTAGTCTTCGGCATATTTGATGATGCTACTCACGCCCAAGAATGTTCCGTAAGCACCGGGATTTCCAAGAGAGAAGATAAAGGACATCCCAGGGCAGGAATTAGCGGAGCAAGACGTGTGGAATCCTGCCGGTCGAGATTTTCATCACGCGGTTCTTCATGATCATCGTCACTCTTGCCCTTGAATGTCTTCGGTACAATGCCAAAAAGTAAGGCCAACAGGCGCACACCCATGTCGAATTATTATGATTGAATGGTTGAACCCGAGGAAGCCGGATAAGTCGGAGAAATCTACTAGAGTCATTCAAGTTACGGAGGAGATGATACCTGTAGACGCAAGGCACCGGCAGCTATGTAGGATGGAAGCCTACTTTACGTAGCGTAGGATGGACCGGCTAGGGACCCGTCGTCAACAAGAATAACTGTCGAGAGAGAAAGGGGGAAGTGCTCGATCATTCGTGCGTTCGTCCAGACTCCCGAGAACGCCAGGATTCAGGACTTAGGTCGGATTCAGGTGACCGAAGTGGGGCGCAAAAAAAGTCTAGATAAAGTGCGACCGTTAATGGGCAAGGGTGGGAGATGCTGGATAACACGAGGAAAAATGATGCACCAGGTTATTAGTATTTACAGGATGTTTATGTAAAACTATGCTCACGCTATGTACAACAAGGCTTGTACAGGGTCTTGAAAAGACTTCAAAAGGGGAAAGAAAGCCGACTGAAGACAGCCAGTCAAACAGGGCTAAACAGGGTGAAGCCCTTTGAAGCTTTCAGTTTGTGCACATTAAGACTGTTGATTCAACGGTACATATCACACTGACATGATGAAACAGGGAACGTCCAAGCAATGGGGGTGATGACACCCTCAACTTTGGCCGTGACTTCCGGTCGAACGCTCAGGTGGTCGTGTCGCTTGGGTCGTGTCGCTCGGATCGTGACTCGTGATTCGTGACTGGGTTGTGGCAGGCTCTGTTGTAGTTAAAAATATGTACTGCTTGAGCGTCCGGAGAGCAAGGGAAGCGGAAGAGAGGGGATATGTGGCGATAATCTTCACGTTCGGAGTCACAAGCTCAAAGGATAATGTGAAGTCGGGAAGCTTTCAGGGGTACAATGTATGCACAACTGTCTACACATCCCAATCTGCAGCTCCCCCAGAACCAGTCCTTATGTAACTCCGACTCCTCGCCCTTTAGAAGCGTTCCTTTGTCTCATCAAGGTCTGCATACGAACCTGATCCCAACGAACGGGGTGGCATTCGCGTCGGCAGTTTGAAAGAGGGGCAATTACCCAAAAAAATAGTCGACAGTTGAAATGGTTGCTAGAGAGACGGCCTATTAACAGTCCACACCAAAGAATTGAGTAAGTGATGTCAGAACCTAATTACAGCCGACTTTATAGGGGGGGGTCTCGATTTTGAGAACCGATGTTGAGTTTGATCGATCTCCTTCAAAAACGTGCCCTCCAGGCTCCAACGAGACTGCCAGGGATATTGAGTTGATAGCTGGCCTTCGTTACCGACACCTACGCAGTGGTGGAAAGACACATCGACTGTGTCTGCGGGGGATTTTCATGTTGCAATACTTGTATGTCGGCTGATCTCCTGCCCACGGACGAGTGCGGCTCAATGAAACTTGCAAAATCTTCAACAATGCTCCTACAGATTTAATTGTTTGCTCCAGTCGCGACCTCGTATTAGACAGGATATATCAGATCTTAGGATATGCCAATCGATCGTGGATTTATCGCAATACGAATCGCCCGGCCATGGGTGCACAGGCTGAAACAGTGGACCCGATTTCCCCCAAATTTAACATCAGTCCAAGCCTTTTGTGGGTGCCGAATGAGACGGTCAAATGGTGAGACTCTGTCCCACTTCTTTGTCTTCGTATGATGCTACTTACAAGAGCGGGGCCAAGTCGTAAAATCGATAGCCACATTGATAGTGAGGGAGGTTTTCAGATCGATCGTCTTATTCGGAGTAGTGACTCGCCAAGCATTATTGAAGAGTTGGTTTGATATTATCACGAGGAGCGGTGCTAACTCTGTCAGTAAGCCCGGTTGCCTTTGAATTCTTTCTTTGGTCTGGAGGGGTAGGGCCGATTGGAGGGAGTTTGAGTGAGTCAAAACAAAAGGTGTGGTGACCGTGAAGCTGAAATGTTATTGATACCTTGTTGAAGAGCAACAGCAGAAAAACTAACCTTCATAAACTCAGAGGATCTATCATTGTCGGAGAAAAGTCTGATAAAAAAATTGTGGAGAGTTCTCTTCACTGCGGTTTTTTTATGCAGTAAAATCACTGTCATCAGTGTGCACTCGTTGCCACAACTGTTGAAAAGTTGAACTGTTTTGAAAGCGGGAACTGACCAGAAAGATCTATCCACAGAATTGAAAGGGATTCAAACCGGTATGCCAGTAGCCAATGCACGGCCGTTTTGAAGCACGTTTTTTGAGGAAATTTCCTGGTATGTAGATGGTTTATTTAAAGGGTCTTTGCAGGTGTATGTTTAGGTTAGTATACATGAATATTGAATACCAAGTATTATTAGGGGGAGAGGGATGGAAAGAAGAAGAGATTTTTTGTTCCATTGTAGCAAGGTATTCGCACATCTATCTATCTATCTACCATCTATTTATATGTAAATATATGTACTGAAATCAATCTCGAAGAAAGAGAGAGAGAGAGAAAATTGAGCAAGATAAAGTTTTGAAAGGGGATGAGATTTTGAATATTCGAACAGCATTTCTAAAAAACCCAACAAGACAAAGCAAGACGAAAAAACAAAACAGCGAAAAGAAGAAGGAAAGGGAAGAAAAAGGAGAAGATTCTAAGATCGGAAATTTTTATATTGGTCGATCATATCTTTTTGGATGTTAGGTAAGACCGGAGAGTGTTTCAAGTATTCCATCGTGAATTCGCCCTTGCCTTGAGTCATTCCACGTAATTGAGAAGCATCTAATAAGGATAAAAAGATCATCCATAATAAAGAGATAGAAAGTTATATCAGTGATCAAGAAGAGAGACAGAGTGAAATAAAGGATAGAGAAAAATTTGACGAACATCCAAACATTTCATTTAATGAGACTTCGGCGACCAAGACGACTTCATCAACGCCTACATCGGTATCGATGATTGTGCCTCTACGTTGATTGATAGCGCCGATGACGTTACCTTGAAACTCGATGGGGACTGTGATTTCGACCTTCATGATCGGTTCGAGGATGACGGGGTTAGCGTTTTTGAAGGCTTCTCTGAATGCGCCCTGGGCGGCGAGTCTGAATGCGAGTTCGGAGGAATCGACGATATGGTGGGCGCCGTCCTCGAGGATGAAATGGCAGCCGGTCACCCGGTTGCCCGTCAGGATCCCGCGCTGCAAGGCATCGTTGAAGCCCTTCTCGACTGCCGGGATGAACGAGGCCGGGATCGTCCCCCCGGTGATCCGACTCTCATAGAACGTCTCCTCGCCCGTTTCCTCGTCCCGCTCCATCGGCAAGATCCGTCCGACCACCTTCGCATATTGCCCCGCCCCTCCAGTCTGTTTCTTGTGCACATAATTGAACGAGCTCTCGCTGGTGATCGTCTCCTTGAACGCTACCCTCGGCTTGCCAGTCACGACTTCAACTCCATACTCCCGCTTGATTCGTTCCACATAGATATCTAAATGTAATTCGCCCATCCCACTGATGATCGTCTCTGATGATTCCGAATCAACATGAACTCGGAACGTCGGATCTTCCTTTTGGAAGCGCTGAAGGGCCCGTGAGAAGTGTGGCGTTTCTTGTCCTTTGGGGCGAATCGACAGTGAAATTACTGGATCGGGTACAAACATCGAAGTCTATGAAAAACGAAAAAAAAAAAATGTTATATTCAGTTAGCTCAATCCAGTAGATGCTTCTCGTGAGATATTGATAGTTTTCACACTGTGTGACGTGCTTCAGGTCGTTTGTAGTCATGACATTTCGTCCGACTTCAGAGGTGTGAAATGATCATTCATGGGTGAAGAAACTGACCATTGAAAGCTGGACGGAACCGTCTGTAAAAGTATCACCAGAGGAGCATTCGACGCCAAACATGGCACAGATTTCACCAGCCTTGATCTCATCAACATCTTCCATTTCATCACTATGCATCCGAACCAGTCTGGGCACTTTGACTCGTTTACCGGTTCGAACGTTGACGATCTGGTTTCCGCGTTTCAAAGTACCTTGATAGACTCTCAGATAGGTCAATTGGCCGAAGCGACCCTCCTCTAGCTTGAAGGCCAGACCGACGAGTGGGGCAGAGGCGGTGGGATGGATCTCGACTGATGTAGGATCGGTCGTGCTAGTTGAGACATCGAGAGCCATCGAGGGGACTTCGGATGGATTGGGTAGGTAGTTACATACACCATCTAGTAGTGGTTGAACCCCTTTATTGGCTAAGGCTGTGCCCATGAAGACTGGTGTGAATTTGAGGTTGATGGTCGCTCGTCTGATCGCATCTGCAATATCGCTGTTGGTGATCTCTTTCTCTTCTAAGAACAGATCGGCCAGGGTATCATCACAATCGGCCAAGGTTTCGATCAATTGCTGTCGTTTCTGAGTGACTTGTGGGAGGATCTCCTGCGGGATCTCTTCAGATTCGATGATTTCAACACCCTTGTCACCCTGATGTCTGATCGATTTTAGCCGGACCAAGTCGATAACACCTTGGTAAGAATCTTCTGAGCCGATTGGATATTGGACGGCGGCACAGTTCAACTTGAGTTTCGATTTGAGTTGGTCGATCACCCTCCATGGGTTCGAGCCCTGTCTATCCATCTTGTTGATGAAGCATACCCTGGGTACGTTATAGCGTCTCATCTGTCGGTCGACGGTGATCGTCTGACTCTGGACGCCAGAGACGGCACAGAGGACGAGGACGGCCCCGTCGAGGACCCTGAGTGCGCGTTCGACCTCGATCGTAAAGTCAACGTGTCCGGGGGTGTCGATGATGTTGATGGCATGGCTGCTTCCGACCGATCGGCCGGGAGTCTCGTTGACCTTCCAGTCGCAGAAGGTGGCAGCGGATTGGATGGTGATCCCCTTCTCTCGTTCGAGTTCCATATGGTCCATCTTGGCTCCCACTTGATCTCTCCCTCTGACTTCATGAATCGATTTGATCCTTCCGGTATAGTATAGCACTCGTTCGGTCAGCGTTGTCTTTCCAGAGTCGATATGGGCTGAGATTCCTACGTTCCGCATGGTTGATAGCCTTTTGAGATCCTGTGCAGTCAGTGGTCCTTGAGTCTCTTGCTGTTGTTCTGAGGTTTCAGTTGCTGATGTTGTTGGTGCTTTCTTAGTTGCAGTGACTGTTGCAGAAGAGGAGTAAGATCTTTGCATGCTAGATTGATGATGGCGTGTGCTGAGTTGGGTCCTTCGTGGTTCTCCATCCTGGGTTATTCTCTGTGTTGATGAGTTGATGGTTCTGATTGTTGTTGGTAGTTTGGATGGTGCTGTTGGTTTGAGTCGAAGGACCGTTGCTGAGTTGATTCTGAGTGAGTAGTTCCTCAACATT